AAACCTGCAGAGTCTTTGTCAGATGTTCTGTTCTTATCTTCACTCATGTGTCTTTAACTCAACAGATTCTGTCATCACACCACTGTGTACAAGTACTGTGTACAAGTACTGTGTACAAGTACTGCACTGCACATGTATGAGTACTGCACATGTGTACAAGTACAGCACATGTATGAGTACTGCACAGGTTTCATGTGCGCTACATGGGACTACAACTACTGCTACTACTATTACTGCTGCTGCTACTACTACTGTTACTACTGTTACTTGTACTTTATTTCTACTACACCTACTACCACCACAACTACTACTATTACTTCTAACTCCTACTCACATACAACTACAACTACTTCAACTCCTACTTCTTCTTGTTCTGTGATAAAACCAAAAAATAAAATCTCTTTTTTCCACACACACTTCACATTTGTGATTTTAATGAAGTGAAAGTGAAGTGAACAGAAACACTCGTCTGTCAGACACAGGGAGCTCATCCTTCTCTTTCTTCTCTTTCTTCTCTTTCTTAACTCGTGTTTTTTCAGAAAACGTGACGTGTTTCAGTCACATTTGTGCAGCTCTGGTGTAATGACAGAATCACCTGTTCCAGAATATTCCTCGATTTCACCATTTTGACATTTTAAAAAAATCTCAGTGATTGAAAACCTGAATGAACCGAAGAAACCTGAACTGTTCCTCCACGTTTGTTTACTCCTCCCTCCTCCCTCTGTCCTGCTGCTTCTTCATGAACCACAAATGTTCTGATGATGTCGACTCGTTCTGCTCTGACAAACTCTGATCTGACCAAGATTATATCAAACTTATATCAACTTTTTCATCTTGTTTCTAGATTTATTCTCTATTTACTGGTTTCATTCTCGTCTCGAGGTCGTTTATTTGAAGAGAACTTGTTCAGTAAAATGATCTCGCTGCAAGGACACAACATTTCACGACTTTTAAGTCCTTTTCTGAGAGATTTAAATGTTTATATCTGAAATTCTGTTCCCAGTCGCAGCAGATTTATACAAAACCAGAGATTTGTCCCAGTTTTATACAAGAAATGTCCCAGGTGTTTCTATTTTTGACCAATGTGATCTAAACCAGGTCTAAACCAGGTCTAAACCAGGTCTAAACCAGGTCTAAACCAGGTCTAAACCAGGACTAAACCAGGTCTAAACCAGGACTAAACCAGGACTAAACCAGGACTAAACGAGGTCTAAACCAGGACTAAACCAGGTCTAAACCAGGTCTAAACCAGGACTAAACCAGGACTAAACCAGGACTAAACCAGGACTAAACCAGGACTAAACCAGGTCTAAACTAAACCAGGACTAAACCAGGACTAAACCAGGACTAAACCAGGTCTAAACCAGGTAAACCAGGACTAAACCAGGACTAAACCAGGACTAAAACTAAACCAGGTCTAAACCAGGGACTAAACCAGGACTAAACCAGGTCTAAACCAGGTCTAAACCAGGACTAAACCAGGACTAAACCAGGACTAAACCAGGTCTAAACCAGGTCTAAACCAGGACTAAACCAGGTCTAAACCAGGACTAAACCAGGACTAAACCAGGTCTAAACCAGAGGTCTAAACCAGGTCTAAACCAGGACTAAACCAGGACTAAACCAGGTAAACCAGGACTAAACCAGGAAACCAGGTCTAAACCAGGTCTAAACCAGGACTAAACCAGGACTAAACCAGGTCTAAACCAGGTCTAAACCAGGACTAAACCAGTCTAAACCAGGTCTAAACCAGGTCTAAACCAGGACTAAACCAGGACTAAACCAGGACTAAACCAGGTCTAAACCAGGACTAAACAGGACTAAACCAGGTCTAAACCAGGACTAAACCAGGACTAAACCAGGACTAAACCAGGACTAAACCAGGTCTAAACCAGGTCTAAACCAGGACTAAACCAGGTCTAAACCAGGACTAAACCAGGTCTAAACCAGGTCTAAACTAGGACTAAACCAGGACTAAACCAGGACTAAACCAGGTCTAAACCAGGACTAAACCAGGACTAAACCAGGACTAAACCAGGACTAAACCAGGTCTAAACCAGGACTAAACCAGGACTAAACCAGGACTAAACCAGGACTAAACCAGGACTAAACCAGGTCTAAACCAGGTCTAAACCAGGACTAAACCAGGACTAAACCAGGTCTAAAACCAGGACTAAACCAGGGACTAAACCAGGTCTAAACCAGGACTAAACCAGGTCTAAACCAGGTCTAAACAGGACTAAACCAGGACTAAACCAGGTCTAAACCAGGACTAAACCAGGACTAAACCAGGTCTAAACCAGGACTAAACCAGGACTAAACCAGGACTAAACCAGGTCTAAACTATGACTAAACCAGGACTAAACCAGGACTAAACCAGGTCTAAACCAGGACTAAACCAGGTCTAAACCAGGTCTAAACCAGGATTCTAAACCAGAACTAAACCAGGACTAAACCAGGACTAAACCAGGACTAAAACCAGGACTAAACCAGGTCTAAACCAGGACTAAACCGACTAAACAGACTAAACCAGACTAAACCAGGATAACCACTAAACCAGGACTGAACCAGGTCTAAACCAGGACTAAACCAGGTCTAAACCAGGACTAACTAAACCAGAAACCAGGACTAAACCAGGAAACCACTAAACCAGGACTAAACCAGGACTAAACTAAACCAGGACTAAACCAGAGAGGACTAAACCAGGATTAAACCAGACTAACAGGACTAAACCAGACTAAACCAGGTAAACCAGGATTAAACCAGGACTAAACCAGGACTAAACAGGACTAAACCAGGACTAAACCAGGACTAAACCAGGACTAAACCAGGACTAAACCAGGACTATCACAATGTTTGACTCGTCTTCAGTACAGAGGAGCATAAACTGACATTTGCTTCGTCAAAATACAGAAAATCGTGTTTGTGAACGACAATAAAACAAAACAAAACAAAAAATAAATAAATCCAGCGACAGAAGTGCCTGAGCTGAAGCCCGATTCGTCCGTCTCACCTCCCGGCGCGACAAAGGGCGACACCGTGAAGGCCAAAGGTTTTCTGACCCCTGATCTAGACGCTGGACAGAAATGAAACTGAGCGGAGACACCAGGGGGCGCCAGACTGACCCCCTCCCATCACGACGCGACATGTTCCACTACGACCTTCTTTTCACCGTTTTATTTCAACAGAGCAGCTGCGTTTAGAATGTAGAGAATCTGGTCTCCCTCGTTCTGCTGAAACTCGTCGCCAAAACCTTTTCGTGTCGCGTTTCCGTTTTGTGTTTTCCTTTTGTGCACGTGTTTGTGGAGCCTATAGATGCTTCTAGAACATGACACGAGGAGCACGAGGAACACGGAGCGGCAGGTGACTCCACGTGTCCAACAACTAGTCCTGGTTTAGTCCTGGTTCAGTCCTGGTTCAGTCCTGGTTTAGACCTGGTTTAGTCCTGGTTCAGTCCTGGTTCAGTCCTGGTTTCAGTCCTGGTTTAGTCCTGGTTCAGTCCTGGTTTCAGAGTCCTGGTTCAGTCCTGGTTTAGACCTGGTTCAGTCCTGGTTTTCAGTCCTGGTTTCAGTCCTGGTTCAGTCCTGGTTCAGTCCTGGTTTAGTCCTGGTTTAATCCTGGTTAGACCTGGTTTAGACCTGGTTTAGACCTGGTTTCAGTCCTGGTTTCAGTCCTGGTTCAGTCCTGGTTTAGTCCTGGTTTAGTCCTGGGTTCAGTCCTGGTTTCCTGGTTTAGTCCTGGTTTCAGTCCTGGTTTCCTGGTTAGTCCTGGTTCAGTCCTGGTTTAGTCCTGGTTAGTCCTGGTTTTCCAGTCCTGGTTTAGTCCTGGTTTCCTGGAGTTTAGACCTGGTTTAGACCTGGTTTTCAGTCCCTGGTTCAGTCCTGGTTCAGTCCTGGTTCAGTCCTGGTTTAGTCCTGGTTAGTCCTGGTTTAGACCTGGTTTTTCCTGGTTTCCTGGTTTAGACCTGGTTAGTCCTGGTTTCAGTCCTGGTTTTCCTGGTTTAGTCCTGGTTTAGTCCTGGTTTAGACCTGGTTTAGTCCTGGTTTAGTCCTGGTTTAGTCCTGGTTTAGTCCTGGTTTAGTCCTGGTTCAGTCCTGAAGTTTTGTTTTGTTTTAATTCAAAAACTCAGAGAAGAACTCCTAAAGCCTGAATCTTCACAACACAAAACACTCTGTTCCACCCTGTGATGTCATCATGTGGTGATACAGGAAGTGCTCCACTGTGTTTTTAAACTCCACACACCTTCACTAGAATCACCTGGATCATTTCAGACCTGGAATTTCCGATCTGTACTGAACTAAACGTAAAAGGAGCCGTTCACTTTAAAACAAAACACACAAACAAAACCACAACAACACAAACTCACACAACGCACAAACAAAACACACACACACACACACAAACTCACACAAACTCACACAAAACACAAACAAACTCACACAAAACACACACACAAAACACACACACACACACAAAACACACACAAACTCACACAGACGCACAAAAAACTCACACAAACACAACACACACACACACACAAAACAAACACACACACAAACACACACAAACACACAACACAACACAACACTCAAAACACACACACACACAAAACACACACAAACTCACACAAACGCACAAACACAAACAAACTCACACACAAAACACACAACACACACAACAAACTCACACAAACTCACACAAACTCACACAGACGCACAAACAAACTCACACAAACAAAACACACACACAAAACACACACAAAAAAACACACACAAAACACACACAAACTCACACAGACGCACAAACAAACTCACACAAACAAAACACACACACAAACACACACAAAAACAAAACACAAACAAACACACACAAACACACACAAACTCACACAAACGCACACAAACACAAACAAACTCACACAAACTCACACAGACGCACAAACAAACTCACACAAACAAAACACACACAAAACACACAAACTCACACAAACTGGGTCTTACCTTTTTTCGGTGCCGATGGATCTGAAAGGACAAAGGAGAAGATTTTTAGGAGCAGGTTTGACACGTGTGACCTGAGGGAGGAGGCTGCAAGTCACGACACGAAGCACTTTATTATTATTATTATTATTATTATTATTATTATCATTATTATAGTAAATTTACAGTTATTTACATAAAACCCGAGCACACGACACTTTTACTGCAGTAACTCACAGCTCACGACTGAGAATCTCACACAAAAATACACGTTAAAGGTTTTGGAATGAATTTATGGACTGAAAAAAACATGAAAAACAGGACGAGTTCTTTTAAAAATATCTGTAAATTGTTGCTGAAAACGCACTTTTTTTTTTTTTTTTTTTTTACACTGAAGTAAAGTTGATGTTTTAGTGTTACTTCGTCGTTTACTTTATGTTTTATTCGTGTTTTCTCATATTTTGTTTTTATCGGGTTTTAAACTCGATCTCGATTCGTGCTGATCAAAAATATATCGGCGTCCAAATATCGAATCCACCGATATCCTGGTTGGACATAGAAATCAAAGTACTACTACTACTACTACTGCTACTAGACCTAAACTTACTACTACTACTACTACTACTACTACTACTACTACTACTACTACTACTACTACTACTACTACTACTACTACTACTACTACTACTACTACTACTACTACTACTACTACTACTACTACTACTACTACTACTACTACTACTACTACTACTACTACTACTACTACTACTACTACTACTACTACTACTACTACTACTACTACTACTACTACTACTACTACTACTACCTACTACTACTACTACTACTACTACTACTACTACTACTACTACTACTACTACTACTACTACTACTACTACTACTACTACTACTACTACTACTACTACTACCTACTACTACTACTACTACTACTACTACTACTACTACTACTACTACTACTACCTACTACTACTACTACTACTACTACTACTACTACTACTACTACTACTACTACTACTACTACTACTACTACTACTACTACTACTACTACTACCTACTACTACTACTACTACTACTACTACTACTACTACTACTACTACTACTACTACTACTACTACTACTACTACTACTACTACTACTACTACTACTACTACTACTACTACTACTACTACTACTACTACTACTACTACTACTACTACTACTACTACTACTACTACTACTACTACTACTACTACTACTACTACTACTACTACTACTACTACTACTACTACTACTACTACTACTACTACTACTACTACTACTACCTACTACTACTACTACTACTACTACTACTACTACTACTACACACTACTACTACTACTACACACTACAACTACAACTACTACTACTACTACTACTACTACTACTACTACTACTACTACTACTACTACTACTACTACTACTACTACTACTACTACTACTACTACTACTACTACTACTACTACTACTACTACTACTACTACTACTACTACTACTACTACTACTACTACTACTACTACTACTACTACTACTACTACTACTACTACTACTACTACTACTACTACTACTACTCCTACATCTACTACTACTACTACACCTACATCTACTACTACTACTACTACCTACATCTACTACTACTACTACTACTACTACTACTACTACTACTACTACTACTACTACTACTACTACTACTACTACTACTACTACTGCCTACTACCTACTACTACTACTACTACTACTACTACCTACTACTCCTACTACTACTCTACTACTACTACTACTACTACTACTACTACTACTACTACTACTACTACTACTACTACTACTACTACTACTACTACTACTCCTACTACTACTACTACTACTACCTACTACTCCTACTACTCCTACTACTCCTACTACTACTACTACTACTACTACTACTCCTACTCGTACTCCTACGCCTACTCCTGCTACGGAGTTCTGCTGTTACTGTAAAACTAAAAACAACAACTAGCATGCTAACTACATACTTCCTGCTTATCAGACAACAAAAAGTTTTACTCAAATAAAATGAGGGGGGGGAAAAATCATGTACAACATCTTAAATAATCAGTTGATTTCTGAGTGTGTGATTTTTCTTGGGGAGTAAACTGAGGTAAAAAAAAAAAAAAAAAAAGTACAAATGAATTTTGAAAAGAAAAGACAAAAATCCACAGTTTAAAGGTCAGACGCACGTTTACAGGTCGGAACATGAGGCAGTTTATCATCGTGACTGCGCCGAGGGCAAAGGTCACGCGCAGATATTTACATTTCTGAGTCGTGTACAGGAGATTTGTTGAACCTCGGCACTGGAGAAGAGTCTGACTGCAAAGACCGAACCTTAAACAAACAGATGAGGCCGTTTTCTAATCTGTTCTAATGTGGTTTCCTCTTCCTTTTCACACATTATACGTGTGCAGGTGGTGCACACAGACACACGTTTATGTGAATGGACACATATTGTGTGTCTTAGTGTTTTGTGGTGAATGACTCGGCGGTGACAGACACACATCAGAGTATCAGAGTTTTCAGGAGTCCCACAGTCCCCGTCACATCTGGACCAACATGAACTCGAGGAGCTGGAGGCACCAGATCGTTCAGATTCTGGAGACGTTTTCAGTCGGATTAATGTGAACAAACACTGTACACACAACAAAAACAACTTGAATATGTAGTGCAACAGTGTGAACGGGGCCTGAGTCGTGTCCTTTAATCCGACAGAAGCTGAACCGCATCAGCGACACAAGGAAAGAGCAGTTTTGTTTTCTTTTATCAGAGCTTATAGTTTATGCAAATGAGTCATGTGGTTTTAAGTTTAGCTTCTGTAAATTGTAAACAAATGTGTCAAAACTGAATTAAACACATTATTACTCAATGTTCGACAGAAATGTTTGTAGAGCCAAGGTAGAGACGACCAATCACAGCCCTTATTGTCTGCGTCGTTTTTCCTGCCGTCTACATCGTTTTGACGCGTAGTTAGAAAATTTTGAAGGTGCACGTCGGTCGACACAGACGCTCTGACGCTGCACCGTAAAATTGGGCTTTTAGGGTCCAGCGTCGGATCGTCGGTGCAGGACTCTGGTGTGGTGAAAGTTTCTGTGACGTTTGTGAATGTTCATGTGCACTGAAACGAAATCGAAATCGCAATACCTGCCAGAAAATGTATATGTTTTTCTTAAAATCATCACAAATTTATGACATCACGGAAACTGTGGATTTTGAGATGGTACTGCCTTTTTTTTCTTTTCTTTTTTTTTTTTCCCCCCCCAACACCAAATGTGACAGAAAATCTTCCAGAAGAAAACACTTTGATCGTCAACGAAACAACAGAGCAAGAAAAACTGGAAACTGGACCCACGGCGAACACTTTCAAATCAGCAACAAGTTCTATTTTTCACGTTTTTAAGTTGACACAGGGAGGTCTGACAGAGGAAGTTAAAGGTGTGTGTCTCTTTGTGCTTCTGTGTGTGTTTCTGTGTGTTTCTTTGTGTTTCTTTGTGTTTCTGTGTGTGTTTCTTTGTGTGTTTCTTTGTGCTTCCGTGTGTGTTTCTGTGTGTTTCTGTGTGTGTGTCTGGTCTGTCTTCAAAGTAATCCCAAAACAAACACAGAAATCTGCTCCGTGTAAACTCACGTCAGCGCGAGCTCAGACCTGTCCAGGCCCCGACAATCCACTAATGACACTGCACGATAATCATTAGAAACCCACAAGAAACGCACAAAAGACACACAAGAAACACACAAAAAACACACACAAGAAACACACACAAAAACACACACAAAAACACACAAGAAACACACAAAAACACAAAAGAAACACACAAGAAACACACAAAAAACACACAACAACACACAAAAAACACACAAGAAACACACACACAAAAAACACACAACACACAAAAAACACACAAGAAACACACAAAAAAAGACACACACCCGAGGCCAAGTCCATTTTACGTTATTTTCAGTTTTGTTTTAAAGTTATTTAAAGTTTAAACTCTGAACATTTACGCTGAGTTCTTTTCTCAAACTGAAAACCTTCTGTTGTCTGTAGTGTCGTAGTCTTCAAGACCGGGCCTGAACTCGAGACCGGCCTCAAGACCTTTTTTATGGTCTAGGTCTTGTCTTGGACTCAAGCGCATTTTGGACTGTCTTGAAGGCGTCTGGTCTCAGTCTTGTCTCTCTTGTCTCGGTCTTGTCTCGGTCTCTCTCTCGGTCTTCTCTGGTCTCCTCTCCGTCTTGTTGGCACTTGGTCTCAGTCTTGTCTGTCTTGTCTTGTCTCTCGTCTTGAAGGCGCTTGGTCTTGTCTCGTCTCGGTCTCGGTCTCGGTCTTGTCTCGGTCTTGTCTCGTCTTGTCTCTTGTCGGTCTGTCTCGGTCTTGTCTTGTCGGTCTTGTCTCGGTCTTGTCTCGGTCTCTCGGTCTCGGTCTTGTAGGCGCTTGGTCTTGGTCTCGGTCTTGTCTTGTCTCATCTCGGTCTTGAAGGCGTCTTGTCTCGGTCTTGTCTCGGTCTTGATCTTGACTCGTCTTGATCTTGAAAGGCTCGTCTCGGTCTTCGGTCTGGTCTCGGTCTCTCGGTCTCGGTCTGGTCTCGGTCTTGTCTCGGTCTTGTCTCGGTCGTCTGGTCTCGGTCTCGGTCTGTCGGTCTCTCGTCTTGGTCTCGGTCTTGTCTTGTCTCTCTCGGTCTTGTCGTCTTGTCTCTCTGGTCTGGTCTGGTCTCGGTCTTGTCTTGTCTCGTCTTGTCTCGGTCGTCTCGGTCTCGTCTGGTCTCGGTCTCGTCTGGTCTCTCGTCTCGGTCGGTCTCGGTCTCGGTCTCGGTCTCGTCTCGTCTCGTCTCGGTCTCGGTCTCGTCTCGGTCTCGGTCTCGGTCTCTCTTCGGTCTTTCAGCCTCGTTTCGGCCTCAACCCTCAGAAGTCTTGGTCTCGTCCTGGTCTCTAGTCGACACAGGAAGTGCTCCACTGTGTTTTTAAACTCCGCACACCTTCACTCGAATCAC